ATATATCACGAATTCAAGTGTTTCATTGATATCTAACCTTAGTTAGTACTTACTTCCTCAGCACTTCTAGGCATATGTTTATGTACATTAGGGCGGGCCAATTTTTTTTTCGACATCGTTCCTAGCAGATTCGGATTCTACATAAAATTCTAAGAAACAAGTCCGTTAGATCACAGCTCTAAAATTAATTTCGAGTCTGCCGAATTTTAAAAGAAGATATCTTTGACTGATGCTAAGTTAATATGCAAATTAATATTTACTAAAGTGTTGCGAATTTATTTATTTTTTTTCAATACAAATTTGTATTTTGGCGGTTTTTTGATACCAATAATTAATTTTTGATATCTGTTTCTTATTTAAAGAACCGCAAGATGCAATCATTTGAAGATATCTTCTTTTGAAATTGCGCAGGCTGGAAATTGACAGTAGAGCTATGGTCAGGATGAATTTTTTCCTTAGAATTTCATGAATAATCCGAATCTGCTAGGAACTATGTCGAAAATAATCGATCTATACAAATTGACCCGCCCTAATGTACAAACATATGTATGTGTATATAGCAGCACTTCGGTTCGTTTGCCTATGACCTTCCATTCCCGTTGCTCATCCTTCCAGATAAATTATTTCGCTTACATTGACTACTTTATCAACGATTTGTCATTGCATTGTTTTCGCATTGTTAGAACTGCCATGCTTAAGATTTCCATTAGATATTTCGTGCGTGCGCCTAAAAGCAGGCTTATAAAATACAAGTGTGTGCTTAACGATGTAGAGAGGCGATGGCTGGACGTAGCGGCTTTAGATGCGTGTTTGACATTCATATGCCTTTACCCTGCATGGAAAGCTAACCTGTTCGCGCTCTATCCTTTTTCAATGTCAGGGACTGGAATTTTCAACGTTACGGTATTTCTGTGTGATCGGACAAGACATGTTTTACGCGAAAAATTTAAAGGGCTGTTACGATTATAATAAAACTGAAAGATCGTAGTATTGTTCTAATGCTAAATTTCCATATGTAAGAAGTAACACCAACGGATTTAACGGCTTGCTTGTGCAGCAGACATTATTGAATATACTAATCGGTTTTGCGTTCGTTGGACATTTCCGGTTAATATCACTGTTTTAAAATATGCTGCAGAAAACTTTTTATTTATGTTTCAGTGTAGTTTTTTAAATTTGTTTTTTTTTTTTTGTAATTTTTTAATTTATTTGTTTTTTTTTTAATAAAACTATTGCTTTTACCTTTCATTTAATTTTTATGGTACAAGTATTTATTTACATAACTTCGTCGCTTCTAACATGAAGCTAGATAACTTCCAATTATATTTACATTGAAATTGTAATTTATATTTAAATGGAAATAATTATATGCATCTTTACCACCTCCAAGCAGATTCGAACCTGCGATCATAGAACCAGAGTCGATAGTCTTCATGCGACGCCACAGCTGACAATTTGTAAGAAAAGCAATTAATTGCATTTTATTTTTTAATTTTGCCAGTTGCAGATGTCGCTGAACGCTTTTGTAAATTGTTCGAGATTGTCGAACTGGTAGGCCATCGCTTTAGCTCATACTAGTTAATGAACTGACTTTTTTACTGACTGGTTTGGCTTTTCACTGCAGGCTACTTACATACTATTGCTTTTGTGTTGATCTCATGTACATAGCTACATAAATATGTATGTACATATGTATATGCATTTGCTCTTGTTCTCAAGCAATATGTAGCTCTAGCTTGGTTATCAATTTTATTTATGTTTCATAATACATATATATGTATATATGTACATATGTATGCACATATTTCTAGTTTGCTTATATTTGGCTGTGTTTTTGTTGTCCTCATTTGTTGCTCATGAATATGCAATAAAAATAAATAAAGAAATTTCAACAATGTCCTTATTATTAAACATGAAACGAGCCTTACGCTTCTGAAGATATATAAATTTATTGCATAAATACGAGTACATGCAGACGCATACGTGTGCATATTTAAGTATAATCCAGCTTAGTCGGTGGTTAATGTGTAAAATTACTATTGCCAATTTATAACTACTGTTTATACTTTGTTTATAATTCTACGGTTTATTGGAAAGTTTTTTGTTTCCATTGCGTTATAAAATCTACAAAAAAATTGAAATTTCGCAAATCAAGTTGTATTCTAAATGTACTCAGTCGGTTTTTAATCCATCGTGAACAAACGAAATTCACAAAGTCTTTAGCTGGTTGGCCGTTACGCATTTGGAGTTTCAATATGTATGTATTTACGTGTACGTACATATGTATCTACATATGTAGGTATTTCGTACTTTTACTCTTGTCAACTCACAAACTATTCCATTTCAGGCTCTTAGTCAAGGCTGCCTGCAATATGCCGCGCTACTCGTCCATGTTGATTATAATACTGTTTTTGCCTAATACCGATTATATTTTTTATATTAGAAAAAAGCATTGACAGATTAAAGTAAGAAAAAGCACCAAAACACATACTAACTAAATTTAAATATATTAAATTTAAATGAGCAGGACCTTGTTGTATTCGTGAAAGCTCATGCATTGACGTTTAAGAATCCAGAAGTTAACAGGCTCTTTCAAATTGATGGTATTACCGAAAGTAAGGTTTTTCTTTTTTAATTTTTTATTCGTGCAAAATTATCGATGAATTAATGATTTGCTCCTAAACGACTAATCCGGTTGGAAAATATCGTTTACGTAGAACATAGTAAATTTAAAAATATTCACTATTGTAGAAAGAAATTTAAGATTCACCAGCTATATAAACAAAAAAATATCCGATTAAGTGAGTGCACTTTTTCACATCTCTAAAAACCGATATTTGTCTATATATATTATACTTTGTGAAATTTTGACCTCATATTCAGATTCGGCGGAAAATTTTACATAATCAGTGATGGTGTGGTGCTACAGGTGGGATTTCCTGTAAACGAGTGTAAATATCAAATATTCTAGATATTTAGTTTTCTCTAATTACTTTCAGTTCACACCGCTATCATCACTTCCAATGGTATTATTTTCATTTCAATATTGTTTAGTTATACAGGACTAAAATAAGTCGTGGAGTAAAGCTACTGGGGAAAACACCCCGAAACACCTGGACACATTAGCATCGAGGATAGATAGGGTCAGGCTAGGTTTGGTGACATCAAATGCCTTTGAGTTAGATCTAAATTTTGTTAAGATATGCAGGAAATGCAGGAACGAATGAGGAGAGTAGTGAATGACCAGCCATTATTATGCTCCTAGAAAACCCACGTTTTTACAAAACCTAAAGGCAGCTTCCAAAAGAGAAAGAATAATCATCATAACCTCAATGGTGATGTCGATAAATCCATACTTATTTCTTTGACGTTATCGATAATCGGTCTAAGTACAAATACGTTCAGTAATCTGTGCCAGGCGCTGTAAATAAAAGGTATCTCTACAAAATTGTCCGCTTTTTTTCGAAACTGCTCTAATACTTCTGAAAATACGGAACAAAATTTCGATAAAAAGGGATATACTTTTTATTCAATGCCTAAAAGCTGTACAACAAAAATTACTTTTATCTTCTCCTTAAAAATACCAAATGATTAATTAAGAATAAAAAGTAAAAAAAAAAANCAATTTTTTTGCTAGAAATATTGAATCTGAGGACTTTTCAATACTTTTAGGGAAAAAAGCCCATTGGTAATGTTTTTTGACTTTTATTTAATTACATTTTTATTTTATAAATCCAAAACAACAATTATTCTTGATTTTTATCTAATAATCTACAAATAAGAGTTAATTTTGATTTTAAAATTATATATCTTAGATAACAGTTACATTTATAAAATTCATAAATAAAAATCAATCAGCGACTTTTACTTTTAAAAGTCATCAATATAAATCTGTCAGTGACTTTTNTTGAAGGTTTTTATTTATAAAATTCATAAATAAAAATCAATTAGCGACTTTTACTTTTAAAAGTCATCAATATAAATCTGTCAGTGACTTTTATTTTTTAAATCATACTTTTAAAAGTCATTTGTATAAATCGTAGTAAACTTTTGTTCTCCAATACCTTCTTAATTGCGAAAAATGATAATGACTTTTATACGTATGACTTAAAAAATAAAAGTCGGTGATTGATTTATATCGACGACTTTTATAAATGAAAGCCTTCAATCATTTTTATCGAAGAAATATAACATAATAAAATTATAGTTTAAAAAACTGCTACCTCCCTATTATAATTGTCATTCGTACTGTCATCAGGTATGTAACTTGAGAATAGAAATCGCTGCATCTNCGATGACATTTATAAATGAAAGCCTTCAATCATTTTTATCGAAGAAATATAACATAATAAAATTATAGTTTAAAAAACTAAAACCTCCCTATTATAATTGTCATTCGTACTGTCATCAGGTATGTAACTTGAGAATAGAAATCGCTGCATCTTTTAGGCGCATCAATATTACATAGTTACATCTCGACCTAATAAAGGGAAGGTAAAAATCTGAAATAACTGTTATTTGCAGATTATTTAGACAAAAATCAGAAATAATTGTCTTTTTGTATTTATAAAAAAAAAATCAAAAATAATTGTTATTTTTTCAAAATTTTCCCTAAAAATTACAAATAAAAATTGATTTTCTAGAAGTCGACTGCTATGTATCACTTATTTGAAGAACATTTCCTTCATAATGAATTTTTCGATGACAGTTTTCATCAATAACTGTTATGTTCGGTCCCTGATTTAAAATGGTATACTCCTAAAACAAATTATCTTTAAAAATTTGGTGTACACAGGTCCTTTTAANGCTATGTATCACTTATTTGAAGAACATTTCCTTCATAATGAATTTTTCGATGACAGTTTTCATCAATAACTGTTATGTTCGGTCCCTGATTTAAAATGGTATACTCCTAAAACAAATTATCTTTAAAAATTTGGTGTACACAGGTCCTTTTAATCAGTTGGCTCAAAATAAAATTTCCTTTTCTCTCTTTTCAGCCTTAAAAAGTTACACAAAGTGCAGCTACTCGTCTCCGAGGCGAACGTCTTCTATCATCCAAATTTGGAGCGTCAACTGCGCACCAACTACGGCGCCAACTCCAACTCCAACGCCGCTGCTCGAGTGCGTGACTCTGTCATTGGCACTGGCCAATTTAGTCTTAATCAATATGATTTGAATTTCGTGTGGCAACAAATGGAGGCGTACGCAAATAACACAACCAACAACAATGCCAGCGATGCAGAAATGCCAGGCAGTGATGTTAGCAGCGCGGCGGAGCGCAAAGCAAAGGATTCTACGGGCGGTGCAGCACGTTCCAGCGAGGATATCGCAACAAAAAATTATCACTACTTTACAGCGCAGTCGGGCGTGGACTTCAAGAGTAGTACGCAGTTGATTTTCGATGTGCTAATGCAGATAATTGAGGTGAGTGAATAAAATATGAAATCGACGCGGAAGATAGTGATTCTGAAATATGTACATATTTTAGCGCGTTGTGTGTGCTTGGCATACAGAGTATCTACGCGAAAAGTTGCAAATTGCTTGGTGTAACTTGTAACTTCCAACTTGCGGCAATTCGTGCAACATGCAAAATCAATCAAAATTTTCGCCAACAGCAAATAAGTATTAGTAGTACGGTGCGGTCGCGTACCGCTGCCATTGCTGCTGGAATTTATGGCGATATACATGCAGCAGATGGCAGCGCGATATGACAAAACTCGAATTAAAATTCATTAAGCGTACACCAACGGCGCTTTGAAGGACATTCGACTGGCTTATTGATGGTGTTAGTTAATTGGTTGGGTTGCTTAAGCGCCGCTCCAATGACTGCAGGCACTTTAGTCAGTCCCGGCTATTGCCAAATGGCATGGCATGGAATTGGAATTGCACTGCCGCCGTGCGGACGGGGGCTTGGTGCATGCGCGTCGTGCCTACATACATACATACATATGTACATACATAGTGAATGCACTTTGCATGCCGCACGCAATTGCCAAACGTGGCGCACAGCGTAACTGCTGGAATGCTTGGCAACTAACTACTCGTACTCCCAGCGCACGCAGCCTATGACGACAAATAGTTTTTGACATAAATTCACTTGCTGTGGCATGCGAAATTCGCGAGCTTAAAACAAGCGAGTAGCAGTCGAGCAGCACGAAATTTTTCGAAGCCTAAAAGATTTCTCTATGCATGCATATCTATGTATATAAGTATATATATGAGTGCTCCAAATGGTTCGTGATAGCTTTAGTTAGTTTTGTCCTTGACTAAGCTAAGCGTAGTTGTGGCATTTGGGTGGCAAAGTTCTAGTTTTAAGTGACAAAGGTCTTGCTGCTGTCAAATAAATTGAGTGGCATACATGCGAGAGCATCGCCGCTAAATGGTTGCTGCCAGATTTTGGCCTTGCTTCGCTTCAGCTACTGCGGCACTCCTTATCCTGTTCAAATCTCAAATGTAAGCTGCATGCGCTCGCTCACGTACACATGGATAACGCTCTGCTACGTTTTTTTGTGGGAATTCGTATGCGCCACATTTTAACATCCACATCCATGCTACATACATATATTTTTGAGGGAGCGGAACAAAGAGCCGACCGCAGTGGCGTTATAAAAATTCGTAAACTTTAATGCACCTAACTTTCATATGTGTTTTTTGAACTAATGAAGTTAAAAGCGTAAACAAATCTTTACTATTTCCTGAGGATCATATTTTAAGTTTATACCATCATACTTAATTTCATGTTCGTCAATAGCTCAAAGACCGATATCAAATTAAACCATAGGGGGTTAAGTGTAACATTAAACATATTTTGCACTGTGGAAGGGCAACATTTTTTGGAAGAAACGGAATTACCATTAATCAATACCTTTTTAACCGACTTCACACAAAGGAGAAGGTTATCTATTCGTCGGAATGTTTTCTTATATTAAAATTTTTTTTATGTATGTTACCGCATAACTTTGCACCACATTAACCGATTTCTATAATTACCCCACAGGTGGTGCCATACTAATTTGGTTTAAATACGATCATTGGATCATGAAGAAACTAACAATAAGCTTAAATTTTTATATGAGAGTTGAAGTCGATTTTGTTTTTTGATTAAAAATTACTTGTTTATAATACAGTGACCCAAAGAAATGACCACGTGCTAATTTAATTTTTTTTTTTAAATATTCGTAATGTTTTTCGAACTAATTATTTTTTTGTTATTTTTTCTATAAAAATACCTTCCAAGCGTTAACCAAAGCAATGAAATCACAGTTGCAAACGTTATACAAAATTTAGAAAAATTCAACAAATTTTCATTAAAATTTCAATTTTTTAATCTGAATCTTTAGAACGTTTTTGGGCAATCAGTTTTATAGCGTGAGTGATTTTTATTACTTTGGTTAAAGTTTGGACACTATGTTTATAGAAAAATAACAAAGAAAATTAAAATCAAGGCATGGTCATTTGTTTGAGTCACTGTATGCACAGAGAAATGTTTGCCTAATGCTACGGTTACTATGCATGCGTATTCTGCTGATATTTTGTTCGGCCGATTTTTTCGGAGCAAAAAAAAAAAAACGACGACGAAGTCGTCAGAATACGCATTTATAGTAACCGTTGCCTAAGAAGATTTTTATAGAGGAATCACAACATGTGGCGTATAAACCATAACCAAAAATAACAATTTGGCTCAAAATTGTGTGTGCTGATGCCCAACATAGAGGATAGACCTATAGTCAATTACTATTTTCTATTACAATATGGATGTCAAAAATATTTTTAGAGGTTTTCCACCTGTTAAATATTCAAATTAAATTTAATTAAAAAGTAAAATGAAACATTACCAATTTGTGTTAAGTCAAAGAAAAGATGCTTAAGAAATCCTTTTTTGTTACAGCTCTGACATCTGATTATTTCACTAGGTTAAGATTAAAGTATCAGCTTTGTTCCATACGCCTTTTGAGCCGTTTCGGTAATTAGGGCTTAAAAATAACTTACTCTCTCGTAAGTGTCAAAAATGTGTGAAAATGTACCAAAAAACCACATTTCGTGACCGGAATTAACAAATCAGCTGTTTCACTTGTTTTTGATTTTGCGATTTGACAAATGTGGAAAACAGTTAAAGTTTATTAATTTGCAATTTCAATTTAGCTTAATCACTACTTTTTCATTTTACATCATATTTGCAACGAACGAAGAAAAAGACATTTACGATCCAAAAGTGGAACGTATTCCCTCTCTACTACACGTTTTAATATAGCGTGAGGGACGTTTTCTGGGCTATTTTGGGCACCCGCGGGCTCGTGTGGAACAATCGTATCTTGACACGGATCCGGAAGTACGAGTCAGGACTTGGGAAACCAACCCAGAGCTTAGATGCGACAGAATCCTGATTTCACAAGTTGTGGACTAGGACAGAACAGTTACTACCAGCATAAAATAGGGCTCACTGAGGCTGATCCCAAAAAAGAACTTCTCACCGAAATGTGAATGAGACTTATTTTCTAATCAGTCTAAGTATTTTCTAATCAGTCTAACTATGCGACTGCTTTCAGACCCATGGTAGATCGTTGGCGGTGACCAGGCCTGAGGTGACAGATTTTTTTTGGCGCCCGATGCGCCCTTTCAAGGAGGGCTGTAATTGTCCTTAAATCTTTAGGCCTTGAAAACAATTAATTTCGAATAATTTCGAAGCTATCTATAACCACCTCTCTTAAAGCTACCACGAGCTTGTTAAAGCAACTCAACTCGACTATCTTTGTAATTCCATTGTTACATGTATTTTCTGTTTTTTTTTATATCTATTACAGCACAATCACATTTTGGTTTTACCAAATCTGGTGAAATTCACTGAAATATGCGAAAGTCGTGATCAAATCAAATGGATTAAGGAGAAAGCTTTAAAACTGCAAGAGACAATACCAATGGATGACACAATTTCACATCAGGTATGTATGTACATATGTAAGAAATGTATAAAAAAAAACAAGAAAAAAAAGCAAAACAGAAAACTATATCATCATACTTGTGGCACATCTCATTTCAAGATTGCTGATTAAAGTTGCTCATTTAAGGGCAGTGTTGCCATCATTGATTATCGTTGTTGTTGTTCTTGCACACAATTTGTGCAATTTTTTTTTGTTTGCTTTCATTCGTTGATAGTTTTTGGTATTTTTTGCCATTTCTTCTATTCGCATGTTTGGCTATAATTCCAGCCATGTTGCAACTTGTAACTTACCAACTCGGTACTTAGCACTTTCAATGCAGCAAGACGTGTCCAATTGCATGTGCCACATCACATATCGTTGTTTTTGTCTGCTTGTTTACCGCGCTGGGTGTGCGTGTGTGGGTGCAGCTGGTGGCAATTGAACCTAAACGAATTTGTTACGTTGATTCTCGTACTGACCGGTGAGTGGTCGTTTACACTCTTTTTGCTGCTCAAGTAACTTATCGGCAGTTCTGTCTTAGAATTCGCTATAAGCAAGTTTGCATTAGCTGCCAAGTGACGTGACTTTTTGTTTGTGTGTGTTACTTGTTAATACATACATTTGTAGGTCTGTCTGTCTGTCTGCCTGTCTGTCTGTCTGTCTGCTTAACAGCTTACATGTCTGTCTGTCCATCTGTTTCAAGTGCTGGTCGATTTCGTCGTCTACCAAGTGCCACCTTGTTTTCCCAAGTAATATCGTAACACTTTGTGGTGATTGCATATAGCTTGGCTTACAAATATTTACATACATACATACATACGACTTGCTGAGTCTGTATGCGGTGGCGTGTGATTTCTGCATTACCTTTGTCCTCATTTAACCCACCCGTTTGCACATTACAGACATGCATTTTTTTTGTTTTTTGTTTTTTTTTTTTTACTTTTACTTAAAGTCGTTTTTGTGTCTTATTCGTCTACATTTTTCTGTTTTATTTCACTCTTTAATTTTTTTTCTTTACTTTGCAGCACTTAATCTACTTACTGTGCAAGACGCAAGCCATGCTGATACCCACACTTGGCGAATTGCAACAATTGTGCCAGCTCATTGGCAATTATTTGAAGAGTTCGCACATCTTCATACGAAATGCAACGCTGGCCGGGCTGCTCTGTCTGCTCGAATGCTGTTCGAAGACCAATACCACAATTGGCAAGTTGAGTGAAGAGTTGGCTCTGCTGCGCGAACTGATTGTGGGCTACATCAATCGTCATGGGATTATCGATGGAGGTGAGTAGTCAGCGCACGTCAATTGCTATGGGAATTCTTATCCGTGAAGGCATTCTAGTGTGTTCGTGTGTGTGTGTGTGTGTGAGGTCTAACCGTTATCTGTAAATGCCTTAACAGTTGTTTTAGCTTCGGCTAAGCCAACAAACGTACGAAGAAAATCAGATTAAGGCCAATGAAGTTAACCTGAACTTGGAACGATGCTTAACTGCTGAGCATTTATGCAGAAGCTGTCTTTGAGTTTGTTTGTGATGTATTACATAGTGGGTCGTATAATGATAGATTAGCTCATTAAAATGCTTTTGAAGAAAATTTCTGTTGAATAATTTGTCTATTATTTTTTGCTGCTTCAGTGGTTTCTATGACAACCTAATCGATCTGAATCACTTAACTGCGATATTATTTCAAGTTGAATAAACTCTATAAAGTTCAATACCCCGCATAGTTTTTTGTATTCCCAACAGGACACTTAATTCCTTAACACTATCCGCATAGTTGAGGTCAATTCATTGCTTGTTTAGGAAAAACAAAAATAACTACATATGTATATACATTTTTCGAAACCCACACAACTTTTAAACTAATGTTTGGGTATATATAAGGGTAAACGAACTTAATGCTTTGAGACAGTTATTCCTTTTTCTTGAGTAAGATTTCATAGCACAAACACCGAATATCAGGGCTCGAAAATACCTGTTAGCCGAAAAACGATCTATCGGAGCGATATACAAATGCGCGGTTTATCTTGGTTGCCCACTGCGATTTATATTTAATTTCAAGAAATAGATCTCCTTCACAGAGATTTACCTAGGAGACTTGTTTGTAATGGTTGCTTGTTTTCGGTTATTTATTCAGTGAGAGAAATAATATTGGTCGGGTATAAATTTTTTATTTACAGCTTTGAAGAAAACTAAAGTAAAAATGTAAAAGTAATACATTATGTCTCGATAAAAAGTTAATTTATTTTGGTATGTTTCAATTTCTGTACTAGAGGTAACGACTTACCCCGATAATGGGTACCCGGATAGTGGTATCTTTATTCGGGTACCCGGGCAGAAGGCTATCTTTATCCGGGTTGTATTTTCCCGGGTACCCAGGTAGTAGGTTATATTTCTCTGGGTACCCGGATATAGGGTTATTTTTAATCGAGTAGCCGGATAGGAGGTTATATTTATCCAGATCCCGGATAGATAGTTATCATTATCCAGGTACTTGAATTGAGGGGTATATTTGCCCGGGTACCCAGGTAGTAGGTTATCTTTATCTGAGTACCCGAATATATGGCTATCTTTATACGGGTACCCGGGTAGGCGGTTAATGTTATCCGGGTGCCTGATAGCGGGTTATATCATCCCCGGGTAAGAGGTTTTCTTTATCATTAAAGTAATACGATTTCGGCCAGCTGGAAAGAACAACTGGTGCGATGAGAAATGCCACGAGCGTATAGGTCTATATTTTTGGTAATAACTAGAGAGAAGCCGACGTGAGGTAAATTAAACCAAATAAGAGAAAAGTCAACGTGCAATTTTCTACTCCAATATCCTTTTATATTTAATAAAGAAATGCATCTATGCAATTAGTTATACGTCAACTACTATTAATATAAAAATTTATATATTTATATACCGTATATATTTATGTGACTAATAGATATACCTGTCCAATCAAGCACGTCTACCATTATTATTGTTTTGTTGTGGTTTAAATATTGTTTGCCCAATCGCAAAATTTTACCAAACAACTACCAAGTGACTAGTCTGGCCTGTGTGTGTGTGTCTGACGGCCTTTTTATGAACGTCTCATACTAACTGTGCCACTCAACTGCTCTGCGGTTTTTGCAGCATCCATTACAGATTTTCCAATTGTCATTCGCCGCTCACATACAAAAACAATTCAAAAAGCAAATGCATAAGTTTGAGATAAAACCGAAAATAAAATGTGTAAAAAGAAAGCAATTATATTGAAAAATACTATAAATCTGAAGTTTGTTTCAGACTTTGTTTATATATAGGTACATGCATATGTGCATGCATGATTTATGTATGTATGTATGTCCATATATATAT